GATAAGCATAACACAAGTGAAATAAGCATAAGCGCAAGCACAAGAAAAAAGGAACATGTTTCTTTTTCTTGTGCTTATGCTTGTGCTTATGCTTGTGCTATGCTTATCTCAGAAGTGTGAACCAGGCTTTAGGGACGGATGATTAATTTTTAGGGGGGAGGGGGAGCTGGGCAATTTCCAAAAAAAAAAAAAACACACACACACACACAATCCTGCACAGCAAACACTGAAAAAAAAAATCGTGCAAGTGCGTCTACTATCATTATTTTGATTTTTTTTGTCCAAAAAATTCTTGCACAAGAAAATTCCCAACCCCCACCTCCCCCTGTTAAGTCGGAAGTCCCTCCTCGGCTTTCGTAGCTACAGAATAGTAAATAAGAAGTTGTCTTAAATTGAGAGACATACTGTACGATAAGTAAGATAATTTATATCGACTTTCTCGTTTCAAGTGTAGTTGTACAAGATAGCAATATTTTGTTTTTGTTTTGATACTAAACTAGGACATGCTGATGAAGAGGATACAGGAAGGGGAATATGATTTTCCGGCAAAGGTAAGACAATTGTCTTCAATTGAAAGGAAAGTTATAAAAACGGTCATCAATCCCGCTTTTTTCTCGTTACTGACTGCTTGTACGTATTACCTGTAACGAAAATTTCGGAAAACTTGAGAAATTGTCGTGACTTTTCCAACTTTGGAAATCTCAAATGTCCGCAGGTAACTCACTTATTTCATTGTTTCACAAATCAACTTGGAGGGAGGGGAGGGGGGATTTTTGAAAAATGCCTGAACTAAGAACGCGCGAGATCTAAATAACTGAAATGAGATTTGAAAAGGAACAACTAATTGAAAATTACTTTAATTTTTTTACTTTATCTCTTCCAGGAATGGGATGGCATTTCGTTAGAAGCCAAGAATCTTATATCGCACCTGTTGGTGCGGGATGCAACGAAAAGATACACCACTGATATGATAATACAACATCGTTGGATCGAGGAGGTAACGGTCTTGCTTCTGTCATTTTCTTTGGTTTGAAATTTAATTTTTTTTCTTGTTTCTCTTATGTGACTGTTATTGTTGTTACTTTTTTTTATATATAGGCAAGCAACACCCCACTCCCTACCCCCACCCTGTTAACCAGGTATGTTATACTTACCTTGTTGACAGCGTCATGTTTAGGTTAACCGTTAGGACTACAGGCCACTTGTAATCAAGCATATCAATGGCAGATCCAGAAAACAAGGGGCGAAGACAAAGTGAACAATGTCGTTTCCTTACTCGAATGAGGGAGACAGGAGAGCAGAGATGGTTGTTGTTTTTTCTTCAATAAAGGAGGGAGGGGAAGGGAGACAAATCTTGGGCACTGTGGACCTTCTGTCTGTTAGTCCTTCCCTGAATATTAACTTAGTTTATTCCTATTGTTTTCCCCCTTTTCCCCCTTTTTTAGTGGATTTGGCGCTATACAAATATTTTTATTATTTATTAATATATTACCCATAAAAAGAAACTTCAGTTCTCTTGATTTTCTCCTCAGGAATATGAACACGCACAATCTACAAGAGTTTGCTGCTGAGGCAGTAGCCATGAACCGAATGTTCTCTGAAGCGTCAGCAATTTATCGTCCTGAAGATCATGAAGAATTTCAGAGAAATATCAAACCACGAGTGCTGGGACTTTCGCCTCCTTCAAACTCTGTCTTAGCGAAGCGGCGAGCTGCCTCCTCAAAATCCCATTCGGCAAATCCACAAAGCAAAGATGTTGACAAAAATGAACTTTAGCGTGCGAAGGCCACCGTGTTCCTCCCGTGTTCCAAACTTGCCTGAGCGGACCAGTTGTGCAGGGGGGTGGGGTTGGGAGAGAGAATAGAATATCACCGTTAGAGCGGTTTTCACTTGAGTGTCGAAAGTCATTTGCATTTGCTTTGGTTTTACGTTACTACGCTAAGTGATTGGCTTAAAAATCTCGCCCCATTTTTTTATCCAATCAGAAGTTGAGCCAAAACCAAGCTTGACTCGCTCGCACACGTTTTCCCGCGCTTAGCGTCGGCTACATGTATTTATTTCGAGTTTTGATTGGTTCACTGGGTTGTTTGTGTAATTTGTGATTGGCTAGTGTTACGATACTGTATCGTAAAACTAGCCAATCACAATAAACTATGATACTCAATTGGAAACTGCTTTAAATGCAGATTATGTAGTCCCAATTGAATATGACGAGTTATTAGGAGTTTCTATATAAAATTTGTTAATTTATCACAAAACGACCACAACTTATGTGGTATTTGGTGAGTGAATTGTAAATTTTTGGGTACGTTATTTTATGTACCTTCTTTTAATAGTTTGTACAGAAATACAAATATCCACACGGTCTTTTATGAAAGTATTTTTAGGTCAGAAATGTCTTTTTAGCTCGTGTGTAATGTTTTCGTAAGGATTTCTTTCGTAGATTTTCGTTGAAAATCTCGTCCAAAAAACCTATGAGATAAGAAAAACAAGGCGTTTATCTGTGCGCTGCTTCTCTAGAAAGTCAACCTTAGAAAAATGATTAAACCTTTGTATGATATGATGACAATAAATTGAGAAAACCTGTTAATTTTACCATCTCAAACTCTCCGCTTTCTCCCTAGTTTTAGTTTCGATTAAGAAACACCTCGAAGTTGGTCAAAAATACTCCGCTGCGCGCCGTATATTCAATCACGCTCTTTCGTGTTTGATATATTATATCGGCTGCTTTTATGGTAAGATGCCGGATATACGCCCTGGGATACACATCTCTGTCGTCAGCGCTGGACGGCCGTAGCGGGTTACTGGGCTTGCTTAAAGTTTTACCGTGCCGGTTTGAAAAGTAGAAAATTTCGTCAATTCAACAATCAATTTGTTAGTGGGAAGAGGTTTGCCCTCGTTATCCCTCGTTATATTATAAAGTTATAGATATATATACATCAAGCCTATAACTGTGACATCTCTCAATACTGCTAATAAAGCAATTTTAAAAAAGCAAATTTAATGTTGACAGTAGTCATATTTGCAATTAGCTCTCAAATTTAGAAGATTAAAAGTCTCTAAGTTCTTGTGAAATTCTTTGAAATCAGGTGACTGTTAAATATATGTAGGTAGTTTATTCCATAGATGTGTAACCTTAAGCGTGAAAGAATTATGGTAGTACCAGTAGTTACAGAAGAAGGTTGAACAATATTACAACCTCCAAACCTTAAGTTGTAATGCGAGACACGATACTTGCATACTTGCTAGAGACAAGATAGAGTTGTAATCTAAGGCGTTTCCAGTGTTTTTTTAAGTCTTTAATGCATTAGTGATTATCAGCGTCAAATTTGTTAATCAAGGCCCTTCCCCGGCTCGGCCATCCTGATTCGGAGTTTTCAAATATCGTAACTAAGTTGTAAAAGCATTTGAAGGAGAAATCTGTACAATAGACTGTGAGCAGTCTCTTCGAAAATCCGCGGGAAAGATCGCAAACGAACGAAAGCTCGTCTCTTCTCGTTCGTTTAAATTTCTTCCCTCGCAAAAGAGAGAGGAGACTGCTCGCCGTCTAGCTTTAGAACGGAAAGTCAGTTTCGAAACTCGCGCAAATTATGTCACAAAGGGAAGGAAAAGTGAATGTTGCAAATAGTTTGCTTGTACAGGTACTGTTCGTTTTGGATTTCTTAAACTGTCAAGTTTGAACAAGGTGACGGTGAACAACCAAACATTAAGAAAGGGAAGAGACAAAAGGAAAACTTTAAAAAAGTGAGAAAATGTGGGATATCCTATGGCTTCTTGAAACTACGAAAACGAACTCGAAGTAACCACTCAGACCTTGTCTTTATTTACCAACTTTCAGTTCATTTTCACATTTTTCTTTTCAGTTTTCTGAAAGTTTCGTAATACACTTTGTGCTCTCGTCTACCACAAACAACTCGGTAAGTTCCTATACCATAATCATTATATAAGTTACATTCTTTTTTTCGGTCCCTTTATAAGACGAAAACTTTGATGTGGAATACGTAGAAACCTGAACGCGTAGAAATATAATAAACACCAAATAAACTTTTACTTCGATAAGAAAATAAGTCAAACAGAAGACAATGACTTATTGTTAATTTATAACTTAGAGAATCGCGTAAAAGACACTGAGGAGAAGTTCTTTTGAAATCATCTTTTTCGAGCAAACTTTAACACAATCGGCTTTTTTTTCTGCCGGAGAAGTCTTAGCGATTGTCTGAATGTTAATAATCATACACAGCAAAAGCACGGAGAAATTGTAAGATGTCCACCGTATTGACAAAACAAGCTGCCGTAAACGTAAGAACTCTCGGAAAACCATCTGCCACTTTCTAAATGGTTTATATAAACCAATCGTAAATTCACCAGGGCGAAGATTTACCGAAAACGGCACTTGTTTCCGAGACTGTTCCGACTGTACCACGTGGAAATCTTCCGAACTCGCACGAACGGCAAGAACCCTCTAGCCATGAAGTCGACAGGACTGAAACACAGTTAAACAACTGAGATTGTTAATTCGTGAAGAAGATAAGTTACAGGTATTGGTACTGTGCTTTGCTGAATGTTCCATGTAAAAACTGTTCATCATCATTGTTATGTTTATCGGCCGGTGAAAGCCTGCAGTCCAGTGATCGCTCTTCCAAGAATGAGTGCGTGGATGTCATGAGTTCCTGAAGGAAACAAAATAAATGTCAATGACGAGTTCATATGGTAGTTTACTTAAATATTCTCCAAAGGCTCCGCGCAGTATTGATATTAGATTTTGAAGCTACCCTCGAACATTTCAGAACGGGACGCCGAGGGGACAATTCTGAAGGTCCCTTTGAGGAGGTAACAAATAACATGCTCCATTAGTGTGCCTACCGAGATGTGTCCATTTACAGAGAATTCGAGAAAAATCACATTCAAACTTCCAAGTTATGTACTTTTCATCGAAGAATGTGACCCACATACCCGCCCTAAAACTTACCATAGCTAAGAAGAAAGTCAGCTCGACAATGCAGTCCAGAGAGGCTTGTCGTTAGGTAAGTTAAGGTAAGAAAAGACAAGAAAAGGCCAACAAATAAAAACGACAAATCACTACGCTTACCTTCATAAGTGTTGACTGCTTCCAAGTTCATCACATGACGAATCACGTGATACTCATCTGAGATTCCGTTTCCTGTGTAAATAAATAGCGTATTAAACAGTTGACTTTAATATCCTAGTTAGCCCACCCATGAGCCACACCCTTAGATCAGAGGTATATTTTGATTGACCGTGGTATTGCCCGTGGCGTGGCTGATATAAAGTTTGTAACTTTGTACGCATTGCTTCGCTTTAACTAATCAGGGCGAACAAGCTGTTTCTTCAACCAATCAGAAGAAGCCAATGAGTGTTGCCTGATTCTTGAGTTACTGTAGTTTGCTGTGATGGAACTCATTTACTAGTGACTCTGCTAATGCTAATGGCACTAATCTGATTACTTGAGTTTCGGTTTCCTCACAGTCATTGATGATACGCTCTAAACTAAACCTTGAAAAGTTGGCAAGTTAACATTTAATGTATTTTCGCTTCTACTGAAAATAGTGTGACAGCCTGTTTAGTTACAGCTTTGTCTGTGTAAGTCTAACGACTTGCTTTGTCCCGTTTGTAAACAACTCAGCTAAACACCTCGCTAAAATAAGCTGAAGTCTTACATTAACTTACCTCCAAGCATATCTCTAGCCATTCGTGCGATGTCCAGTGCTTTTCCACAAGAATTGCGTTTGATCATAGATATCATTTCTGGACAGTATCTGTTTTGCAGAAAGAAGAACAATTACATGACCATATTTTCCAGTGACGAGGGAAGAATTGCCAAGTTACGTAAGCTATCAGATTTCTCTCAAACTGAATGAAATATCAAACATATTGAATTGAATTGAAGAGAAATAGAAAAAAAGAACGTTGAAAACACCCACAGAACAACTAAGAACAAGAAACGAGAAGTCCTTACTGTCAGATTTAGCAGCCTTTCCCAATCGCTACTTTCGGAAGGATCGCTTCAAATTTGAAAACATACACATCCCCGACAGATAAGTGTGATCATACACTTAACTAGTTTTGTTTATAGAAAAAAATGCGGTCATTTAAGAGAGCAGAACGATAGAATTGACCACGTTTTCAAGAGGGGCCTGAAGGGGTAAAATAGAAACTGGAATTTGCCTATTTTTT